GGGGGTGTGGGGGTGTGGGGGTGGTGTGGGGGTGTGGGGGTGGTGTGGGGGTGTGGGGGTGGTGTGGGTTCCGCACCCGCCTCCGTACAGGCGTCGCAGCCGAGGTGGTTTGCGCACTGTCCGGAAGCCCAATTCACGCACAGCGCCAACGTTTTCTGCATCTTGCCATCCCCCAGCTCGCAGAGAGTGCTTGCGAAAGTGCTGCGCCTGCCACGAAATCTATACTTGACCTTGCGAAAGTGCTGCGCCTGTCACGAAATCTACACTTGACCTTGCGAAAGTGCTGCGCCTGCCACGCAATTCAAACCTTGCGAAACCTTCGCGCGGCCGTGCCAATGGTCCCGTCTCCGAGACCGTTCCGAACCCGTTCCGACCCGCCTCCGTACAGGCGTCGCAGCCGAGGTGGTTTGCGCACTGTCCGGAAGCCCAATTCACGCACAGCGCCAACGTTTTCTGCATCTTGCCATCCCCCAGCTCGCAGAGAGTGCTTGCGTGTGTGTGGGGGTGTGTGTGGGGGTGTGTGTGGGGGTGTGTGTGGGGGTGTGTGTGTGGGGGTGTGTGTGGGGGTGTGTGTGGGGGTGTGTGTGTGTGGTGTGTGTGTGTGGTGTGTGTGTGGGTGTGTGTGTGTGTGTGGTGTGTGTGTGTGTGTGTGTGGGTGTGTGTGGGTGTGTGCACCATCTTGGCATATCCTCCCCCCCCCCCGATTCTGGGATCTCTTTCGCACTTATTGTTCACTTTTAGGTTCACGAAATCAAGCCTACGGCGCCGCCATGCCAGGCATGAAAACTTTTCCTGTGTGGATGAAGCCATGGTTCGGACCCTAACCAGAGGACCCCCCCCATCTCCTGTAGATCACGCCCACCCCCAAAAACAACAAATACAAGAAGAAGCAGCAAACACCAAAGATCTTTCCCACAAAACCCCCCAAAAAAAAACGAATGGGCAGGGGCAGATGGGAGAATCCCTGAGTCGTCCTTCAGGTGGAAGGCAGAGCCGTGGCAGCTGACCTCGGAAGCTCCGAGGAGCGCCTGCAGGCGTGATTGGGGGACTTTGTTGGGGGTGTGTCTTCTTTGTTTTTTGATGGGGGGGGGAGGAAGGAGGGGGGGGGGGAGGAGGGAGGGGGAGGGGGAGGCGGGAGGGAAGCAGGGGGGAGGGAAGGAGGGAGGAGGGGAGGAAGGGAGAGGAATCTGCTGGGTTTGAAATGGAAACCAAAAGCCATGTTCGGGGGTCTCGATGTTTAGACGGCCATGCTTTGCGCTTGACCAAAATGACGACCCAAGCTTGCGAGCCGCTTCTTTGAAAAGGGGGCTGCCTTGACTCAAGTGCCACGCGGCAGCCGGCGTTTTGATGACCCTTCGAGTTTGAAGAGCCTGCCCTACCAAGTGCCTTGGAGGGACGGCAAGACTGTCCTAGCGACATTTGCCATGGGGCAGGTTGGGCAAAAACTGATGGAACAAGAATACCCTGGTCATGTTTCAAGGGGGACCAACAGGAAGATGTTTCAAACATATGTCCAAGAACAACATGGCCCCCTTTGAAGGGGAAGGAAACAACAGGAGGATGGTTGAACAGTACGTGTGTAAGCCATGGTTGAAGCGGGGGGGTGCCTCTCCCAGCCCAAGCCAAGTCAGGTGATGACGTCGCTGGTGAAGGCCTATGCTCACGGCCTCTTCGTGTCAGGCCACTTCAACGGCGACCCCCATGACGCTGGGCTCAAAAATCTCACGAGTTCAGACGGAACAGGCTCCTTATGGCCGCATTGCTTTTGGACACAACTGACTTTTCCGTTGAAGCTACAAAAGGCTAGACCTTCAGCAGAACAACCAAGTAAAGGTCCCCTTCACTGGCCCCAACTGCGATGGGAACCCTGAACAAAAGGCAGGGAATAGGGGAAGGGAATGTGTTTGGTGGGATGTTTTGTTCTGGATTAGAGCATCTTCCGAATTCAAACTTCGCCACCTGGCAAGAAATTTGCCCAAATCTCGGGACGGACTGCGTGTCGAGACACTTGGATAAGTTGTCCTTTCTGGACGAAGCAAGCGCCGCAGTTTATGGCCTAAAACACCACATAAAGGGAGGTGTAGCATTTTACTTTCAGCGTAGGGCTTTCCAACTCACACGCCGCAATGTTTGGGCGGAGCATGACCCCCAGAAGTAGGCAATGCTACGCAATTGCCTCTAGGCCATTTGTTGTTGGTTTTTTGCCAGGTGTGTTCCCAAAACCCTTGGTGATTCCCTAGTGCCACGGCAACCCTCGCAGATGGGCCTTCTGGGCAAACGGAGGCCGACGGCCCGGTGTTGGGATGGGCTCCTTCAGAATCGTCCAAACGTCGCGTTTTTCGCACCTCAGCAGTCGCCAAGCCGGGCCACATCTGCCGACAGCCGGGCCCGAGGCCGGAAACCTCTTGGTGACGCGGAGGGGCGGCAAGGCCAGACGCCCCTTTTCTCAGGTAACCCTTCTGGCCTGCAAACCAGCCTTTACGGAGCCTTTACGGGAAAGCTGATTTGTGGAGGAATACTGTTGCAGACCCGCCTTTTCTCACAGGTTCCACCTGGGCTGTGTGATATGTCCCTTTGTCTCCCCCATCCGGGACCTGTGGAACCTGACCTCTTGGCAGAGATTGGCTATTTTGAATGGAGCCCTCTTTCGGCTTCTATCCAGGGCCCATCGCTGGTTTGGGCAGAGTCGTCCAAGAGAGAAACGTGAATTTCGATCAGCTAGGGACTTAGCATTTCCCAAGCTCCACAAACCGACTTTTCAGGCGCAGTGTGTGCTGCTGGACTGGGGCCTCACTAAGCAGCTGGACACTCAGCGCCGGCGGGCGGCCTGCACCTCGGCCAAGGTGAAAGAAAACCCCACGAGAAAAGAAGAAGTTTTTGTTGACCCCAGGTTTTCTTGGTGAAAGCCCATGCCCAAAAACCGGGCTAATGTTGACCCCAGGACTGTTTTGTTAAACTGGGGTTGAACAAAAAATGGGGTCAACATTACACACGAGTTCTTATGTCCAAGGGTCCGAAACCCAGTAAAAAATCACACCCATGTTTCTTGGCTGTTGGGTTGGATTGAGCTTGAACTTGTTGGGTCTTGGCCAGCGATTCCCAACTAAGCAAAAACTTACACTGTTGGTGCAAGCAATTGCCACCCAAGAAGGCAATTTGAGCAATGCCCGAAACCGCTTCCGATTGTCACATGTTGGTGGGTTCTACTCACTGGTTTGGAGAGGATTGTATATAGTAAGGCGGTGCGGTTTTTCCCAGGTCATATGTCCCCGCAAGCCCAGGGTACCACAGATGTTGCGAGTTGCTCGGCCTTCATACCTCAATGACAAACAAGGCCCGAATGAAACTCGACCATTGATAAACTGCTCCAACACTTATAATGACCTTTGATTGCGATCCGACTGCGAATGGGGAATTGCCCTTGTCTTTTGAAAACCGATTCCCATGGGCGATTTTAGTAGATGGTTTTACCAGGCTTCATGGTGGTTTTGGACAGGGCTACACAAACCTTTGCGAGCTCCCTGCCAGAACCAAAGCTAATGGGGTTTGGGCGTCATACGGAACATGGTCAAAACCACCGAACACCCTCATGGCAACCACTTTGACCGTTCTGATGGCGATTGCTTGGGGATCACCCTTTTTGCCCAGCAGGGTTCTAGCCTGACTGAATCTACAAAGAAACATAAGGAAACTGGGATCGGACAGCAGACGTTAAAACCCTGTTAACACCCACAGGGGTCAGGTTGACAGAAGCGGTTGCTGGTTGGTTGGTTGTGTGTTTTCCGCTCTGGCTTTGGCCTTAGGCAAGCTCATCGTTGCTGTGGGCATGAAGGTGCTGCGCTCAGCTTATGAGACTCAAGTGCTGCATGAGGAGAGGGATAAATCACAAATTTGGGAACGAGACCCGGGGCCGATTTACAGTGATTTACCTTGGGCTGTCACTTTTTGAAGGTCGCCTAAGAAAGCTCCCCCCCCTTGTTTGACACCCACTCCCAGGCAAAGTCCTTTTTTCTCTCTCTCTCTCTCTCTCTCTTTGTCAGGTAGTGCCACCCTCTGGCACGCGCGCTAAGGACACAAATGGCATCGTCGAAGCTTTCAGAGAAATGGGCGCCTTGTCACAGAATCCCACTGGTTGGGGACTGGGCTCCGCAGCCTTTAGCCTTTAGCCGGTAGGCCAAAGGATCCCTTTGATGGTGGTTGTTTCCCTCTACGTTGGATTCGTTCTGATGATGAATCCGGAAAAGCATTGGATACTGCCAATGACGGCCTGTATTGGTGACAATGGTTCCTTTGATAGTTACTCCCTTTTCAAAGTTTGGGCAACTTGTCCATTTTGAAGAAAGCCTTTCTGGGTCCGGATATGTGGATGCCCGCCTTTAGCTTTCCATGCCAGCATCATATGGGTGTGCATGTGTGTCTCTATGTGTGTTCTCAGGGTGCCCTTCTAGCCTTGAACACCCTATATGACACAGAACCATATGGGGTGTTGCACAAAATAGTGAATTGTCAGCTTAGTGAGGGCGAGAAGGGGTAAAACCACAAATTCCAACAAAAATCAAGGGGCAAGCACCCAATTGCCGCATGTCCCCCGATTCCCCTGAAAGCCTCCGCACTTAGGAATGAACTTCTCGAAGGACGCGGATCCAGAACCCGATCTGCTGCTGGCCATCTTGCGGCAGATCAGCCTCATCGAGAACAAGAAGGAGTCCCGCAGGACGACAACGGAACCGGCCGCGGCCAAAATTTTAGAAAAATCCTGGGGGCCAAGTTGCTACCTAACTTTGTGCCATGTTGGTGGGAAATGCCATTTTGGAAGGGCTCTACACCTGGTGGAACAGGAATTTTAATCACAACCGATAATTGATTGAGCCTTTTACCGGCATCTTAGAACCAAAGGCAATGTGCTTTGGGGGCTGCTCGCTGGGACAGGCCCAAACCCAGAACACCTAATACCAAATGGAGACCCAGGGGACCAAACGGGACCAAATCAGATTTTACTTTGATAGCAAGAAAGTGAAAGGGGATGAAGCTTACGTGTAGGGATGTTGAAACATGTTGAGTTCTCGAAATCACAGTTGGGACTCGGTGGGAATCCCCTGTAAACCCTTTCAGGGTGATTTCGAGGATGCCACCTGAATGGATCGAATGATAGCCCAATATGTTCGATCCCAAACTTCATTTGTCGAATGAAGAACTGTCTGGAGTCTCCATGACCCTTAAAAAGATTGGGTCATTCCCCAAGATGGGGTCATTGACCCATTTTTAAAGGGTCATGGAGACTCCAGGTGTTTGCCATGGTTTCCCGATCCGATTAGGGTCGAATGCGAAGGATGCAGAAGAAGTTTGGGACCACCATGAAGAAGGCCATGGCCCACAAAGTGGAGCTCCACTCGAAGGCCAATAGCCGAGCGCCGGCCTGTGGAGAAAACCACCCGGAATTTGGAGCCAGCCCCCACCTTGGGCCAAAAGCACCTGACCGTTCTGACTCGAAAAAGTGTCGTGCGTGTCCAAAAGGTCTGCGGCTGTCATTCCCTGGGTCCTTTGGGCATGTTGTGTTTGGCGCTTGTTCATCTTTGGACGGGGCAGTGGTTGTGATGGTCAGAGTTTCTTCGCGCCGCCGAAGGGTGACCAAATGGGGATGGGCAACTTGTTCATTTGTCCACACCCCCAGCACCCAGGCTTACTTGCCCGTGGCATAGGGAAGGAGGGGGTTCAAAGGAATTGCGTCCTCCAATTGGGGGAGAGGTTCGACGAAAAGCCAGGGGTCTTGTGCATGGTTTCCATTTCGTGGCTGGAGAAAAAGCGGCCGCAGGTGGACAGCTACACGGGGGACTTCTTCTTCATCTTCAGGGTCGCTTCGCTGATCAAGGGCCTGGCGACAGTTCTGGACATCAAAGCCCAGCTGCTTGGGAAGTCAGTAGAGCTGGGAAGCATGGCAAGCGCTTTGGACGCGGTGGATCCAGCAAGTCAAGTCGGGGATGTTTGGTTTCTTTTTGAACATGGAGCCACCTGGTGGACAGGAACCCCAACCTAGATCATGTCCGCCGAAAATTCACGCATTGAAAGGCCGATACCGACAATTGACGGGTGAGGCAACAGCCCCCTTCTCACCTGAATCAGTCCGGTCTGTGGGTCTGGGGTCCGATCCAGGCGTACTTGCCTAGCTTACTTGGGCTTGGTTATGGTCATGAGGGCTGGAAAAAAAGGAATGGGCATTGCAAGGATTCTGTTTTCAAGGAAACCGCGACTGAGGCAAGGCAAGAGTACCCGGACCATTGCCTTCACTTTCCTTTGGGGGAATTGCATTGTCCCCACTCAAGAGTAAGAAGTTGGACTTTTTGCACAGGAGCCTTTCAGCCTTTCGAAGTTTCGACCATGCCACGATTGGTGTGAGATGCTTTTCCAGGATGCCATGGCACACGACAATGTGTCGGAAGCTGCCTTCGCAGCTTGCGTGGTTCGAAAATCAGAGATTCGGCATCGCCTTGTGGGTGCCAATTGCAGTTTAGACAAAAAGACCGGGGACCAGAGCTTTACATAGTCTTATCTTCCAGCGAGTTGACATGGTATGGAGTCGCTGGGATTGCATCCCTAGGGAGGGTAGGCCATGTATGGCATTTCGGGGCACGTCGGTTTCGGCCGGCCTCAGCTCCAGGGCGGCCTGCTACCAGTTGCGTCATGTCCTCTTGGCGCTTGGCCTCGGCCTTGCCGCTGGCTCTTGCCACATTCAAGGGCTTTGTAGCTTCCGTTGCTTAAGAATATTTTGTATTTCCCCTGTTGGGTTTAAAGGGAATCTATCACTACTGGAAATATGTTTACTTTTTCCAGGGGTCTTAACCAAATGGAAGGTAAATCCACTTCAGCACTGGCAAGAGGGCGTGTTGATGGTGCTCGGCGTCCCGCATGCAGAACCTCATGAGGAACTGGAGCTTGCGGTGGAGGACTTCCGAGATCACATGACCGAGTACGAAAAACGCCTCGGCGATCTGCGGCGGTACCGCAACGTTGGACATGGCGAATGCCTCTACGACTTGGTAGATACCCAGGATATCTGGCCCACACTTCAGAAGATTGCAGAAGCAGGTTTCCCCATAATTGGGCAGTATGTGAATATTGGAGCGCATGATGGCTTTACAGATGATCCACTTTATAATTACTCATATAGCAGCCAAGCCCTTGGAATTGCAATCGAGCGTGATCCGGAACAATGTGAACGTCACAAAGCGAACTTGCCGGATGTTAATGTTGTTTGCTCAGAGGTCACGCCTCAAAATGTATTGCCACTGGTTCGCCAAGGGCTGCAGGGACAGGACATCGATGTCCTCAAGATCGACATTGATTCTTATGATTGTCCTGTCTTAGAGCGTATTGCCCCCAAAGTGCGAGCAACAATGATCATGGTTGAGACAAACCCTTCTATTCCGCCGCCCTACCAATGGGCCATGCTCTATGATCCTGATTTGTGGAACTTCTTTGAGTCCTTCCGCAATCCTGTTGAGGTCCCCGTCCGGGGCTGCTCCTTGGCCTACGAAATTCAAGTGCTCCGGCGCTACGGCTACGATCTACTTGCATTTGATGGGCATGACGCGATCTTTACCCACGAGTCAGTGCGACGCGCGTTTCACCCACATCAGCTGCCGGTGGACGAGTTTGACTGCTATGCTCATTCACTCATCGTGGCTAATGGGATCCCAATAAACCTAACCAGGCGATGGTTCTTCAAAGAGAGCGACGTGCACAAGACTTTGCCAGAGATATGGCGTTTCTTTGTTGATTGGATGGCTGCCAATTCACCAATTCTTTTTCCATTCGCCTTGCGAGTGTGAGAGAAAAGAGAGATTGCCCGCCCTCGCCATCCTGCGCACGCAAATGCGTTTGATTCATTTTGATATGTGAATGCCCACTTTCCACGTCATGCATTGTTTCACGAGAATTGTTTCTTGCTGGTGAAAATTCCCATCCACCCACCCATCCATCCATACATCCATCCATCCTAGCTCATCTAGCTCAGGGCAAACCCAAGTTTGGGTATGTGTCAAAAAGGGGGACCACCAAATGGTGAGCTTCCTTTCAACCAAGAGAGCTGGGTCCCTCAAAAGCAATCATCCCTTTAAACTTGGCCTGCCTTTTCATGGGGTGTGGGGGCAGAAATCTTCAATGGGGGCTGTGGCATCCATTCAGTTGCTTTGTTCCTGAGATTTCTCGCTGATGAGGTATGTGGTGGCCCCACATAAGGCATATCTATATATATATATACATATATATATATATATATAGTGCTTGATATGTTCCAGGTTCTAGCTCTCCCTCCCTACCCATGGTCATGGTACGCCCCCTCCCCCCAGTGTAGAAAAATGTAAAATGTATCAAAACGAATTCTGGCCTCAGGTTTCTGGAGATCTTCATCTCCGTGAGCCGCGGTGTCCTCGCCGGCCCAGCGCCCGCCTCAGTGCCCCCCGCCTCGCTGCCCTCGTCCTTTGCGCCCACCACGCCGGCGCCGCGCTGGGCGCGGGCGGCAAAGCGGGCGCTGCAGCAGGGCGCCGTAGGCAGGGGGGGGGGGTGGGCAATGGCCTAGTCTGGTGTCATGGGGCAACTGGGGTCTCCTCCTTCCGACTTAAATGTCAATTTCTGTATCATTACCTTTGAGGTGGAAACTGTTCAGCCTCCTTCTGGCCTCCTTTTGGCTTTCACACCCCTCCAAACGGTCCCCTAGTTTCCCATCTCTGGGTTGTTGAAGTTTGAGTATCGACCTTTTTACCTGGGATTCTGCGGCCCCTTGTGCCCGGCAAAAAAGGGGGATTGTCCCGGGTCGCTTGGAAGTTGCACTTTGAGGGGTCCTCAACCAATGGTCGTTTGCGGTGGAAAGCCCCGGAAAGGCAAAGCGAGAGAGGCGGCATGGAGGATCAATTTGATGATGCATTACCATGAGCCCCGGTCCCGACGCAGCCAACCGTTTGGAGCCCTAAAACAGGAAAGCCCATGTTTAGGAGTAGCCCCCTTACAAATTCGCGGAAGGAACCAAAAGGGAGTCCCGCAAAAGGAGTTTCCTCCACAAATTGTGGTTGTGGGTTCCATGTTAATCTGAAGGGGGGGCATGTGAATTGACAGAGGAACGTGGAATTTGAAGATAGGAGGGCTATAGCAGGAAGCAGCCTTGATGGTGTGGGATGTAAGCTTTGGCCGGAGTCAAGAGGTATTTGTCGTTGTTCAACTGTCGCAAGACTTGAAGCATTCAGTCAGCAGCCACTGAAACTCTGTGAATGGAGCTCTGCCTCTCCTCACCCCGACAAGCAGGAAGCGCCAGACCCCGCAAGATTGGCAATCAGGACCAACTTGAAAATATTGAAAACAAACATCACTGCACGATGACTGCTGTGGCGGCAAAATGGTTCATCGTCGAAGACTGAAGTAGTATATTAGCACTTCCTACTCCACCAAACAAGTTAGAGGAGCATGCTGCTGGCTTTGCTGATGTTTGCTGGGGGGCGTACCTTGAAGCGGATCTTTCTAGACTAGAGCCAGCCCAGGGCCCTAGAATCCCCTTCTGTTCCCTGCTTCGGCATGGCATGGCGGCACCCGCTCTCGGCTTTCTTTTGCCTGCCGCCGCTGCTGGTTCTGCCGAACTCTGGGCGCCTTGTGAGGCGAGGGGCTGGGAGCAGCGCCAGGCAACTAACCTCTGACATGCCCCAAAAGGTGGTTCTCCAAAGAGATTGGCTTGCGAAATGCATCGTTTTGGTCATTTTCAGGGTAGTCGGGCAATAAGTTGCAGGGCCTGGCTATGCGTTCATTCATTTCCGTCCCTGGAGGATGCAAACCCGGGCAGTCACGCTGCAACACGCAGCCCAGTTGCGCGGGGTACCCCGGCCTTTGAGCTTCCTGCTGCCGCGAGGTTCCGCGCTGTCCAAGCGGGGGAGAACCTACATCTTCGACGACGAGCCAAAGGCGCTGGCACTGAACAGAGCCACGCCTGATTCCTTTTGGGGGACCCCCAAGCCACCAGGCGCAAGTGGCCTTTACGAAGAGATTGTACTGTTTAGACAGTTTGGGTGTGTTTTACAATTGTTCGGCTATACCAGGGATGCCACCAAGCGGAGCATCAAGGTTCAGACTCTGAGCCCCATGATGGTAGGTTACTAACTACCTAGTGTTGACCCCATGTTAATCAAATCCATATTATTAGTGGGGGGGTGTTCCCCTCCAAAAGCCACTAAACCCCGAGACACCCCCTATGAATAAGCTGGGTTGGTTAACACGGGGTCAACATCACTACAATGGCCAATGGTGCAACCCTTTCAGCCGCTGAGTGCGGCGGACGCCTGGCTGGATGCGCCGCTCGGCAGCCCAAGCCCCTTGCTGGCGCTGTGGAAGCCCGTGGGTGTGGTGACCACCATGGCCGAGGAATTGTGGCTTCCCAAAGTTACTTTTGGGGTTGCTTCCCTTTCAACCGCTATTTCCCCGATAGCATGACTTCTGATGGGTGACCCCCTCTAAGAAGGTTCCAGGGGCGGGTTAGGTTTCCCCTCTAGGAGCCCAAGTCACTGCGGCGGCTGTTGGATGAGATGAGCCCGCTGCCGCTGCAGCAGCCGCAGCCCGTGGGGCGACTGGACAAGGGCACCTCCGGGCTGCTGTTGCCCGACTTAACTCACCTGTTGGCGATCCTTGTTGGGTGCCCTTGTAGGTTTCCGAGTCATTTTACTTCACCAGCACCAGTTAAGACTCAACTCGCCGTTTCGCCCTGTGGGCATCCTGGATTTTCCTCTAGAGGCTTTTGGCACACCCATTTGTTTTACAGTTTTGGAAGCTTGTGCTTTGGGTAATGTTTTGTAGCACTTTCCAGCAAGATAGGTGCCACTTGCGATCGGGTCCCGGTCGCATCGATTCAGGCAGCCGTTCCTTCAAAACCAACTACCAAAACCGGGCAGCTGGTTTGGGTTTGGCAGAGACTGCCTTGAAACCCCACAAAAAGATCTGGCACTCAGCGAGATCTTCCAGTTCTTTCAGTTCTTTTAATCTTACCTAACAAGGTGTCCAAGTCATTTTCCGTTGCCAGTTTGGTCATGTTGTCAGGTTCTTGGCCGAGAACGGGGACCTGCACCGCATCCTCCTGGCGTCGGGCTACATCCGCAAGACCTACGTGGCCACCGAGCCTCGGGCCTTGGATTGGGATGGAAGCGGACTTGGGAATTCACCACCCCACTTCCCATCTGCATACGAATAAAATATGTATTGAATAAATATACATATATCTAGATAAATCGAATACACTTAGATAATATATAAAGACTTTATAAAGATATGCATTTATATTTATGCGAGTGTGTTTTTCCCGCTCCTTTGTTTTGCTATTTTTCCTTGGGAGACAGCGCCTTGTTTGTAGACCTTGGCAGCTATGTAAGTTCCACTTCGGATATAGCATGAGGTAGGCGTCAGAGAGCCCCCATGACATGGACATTCACATCGACTGAAGTGGGACCACTCAGTTCTCGGAGGTTTGTTTGACCATCTTAATTCGCCGACGACCGACCCCTGCAAATTTGATCACAAGCCTCAGATACCAGCAACGCCGACAAACGATGAATCTGCATTGTGAGCCATTTTGGTTGAAGCAAGCTCGCGGCGGTTTCTTTTGTAGATCCAAGAATTCCTTTTGGTTTGCCATGGCGTCGCGGGGGCCATGGTTGTTGATGTGCTTCCTCGGCGTGGGCGCCAACCGGGGGAAGTGCGTGCCGACGGAGGGCTCCTGCGACCCCAAGGGCAATCAGTGCTGCCAGGGTCCCGGGCTGATGACGTGCCGCCTCCGCTCCAACGGGCCCGAGGACAGGGCCGAAGTTTGGTGAAGCCTTCGGATATCAGATGCAAGGGGTTCATGTGTTCATGTCCCAATCGGGGGAGCGTTCAAAATGCATGGCCGGATTTGCAAGTTGAGCCTGCTGAAGCATCACTTGCTGGTTGCCTTTGACTCTTGGCAGGATGCTTTCCAGGAGAAAAGACGGCAAAGACTCATGGCTGCGGCTCAAAAAACCGGTATCAAAATGGAACTCCTGTGCAGTTTTGAGCCACACCCACATGTCACCCCAAATAGGCTCACTTCTAGTTTTCAACAAAAAGCCGTCTACCCAGGACACCGGCCTCGCCTACAAGTGCGGCGCGGAGTTCCCCGACTCGCCCGCGGCCTTGCAGAAGTGCATCCCCGAAGGCGCGCCGTGCGATGACAAGGCGATGAAGGCCCCGTGCTGCCAAGTGGACGCCAAGATGCCGATGAGTTGCAAGCCGGAGGCCGGGGGCGTTCTCGTTGTGTTTGCTTTTTGGGGGAGTTAGGGGGGTGGGTGGGGGCGGGGGTGCCCATCTGATCTTAAACAGCGCCAGGGGAATCCACCTGTCGTGTTATTTGTGTTTTCTCATAACCCTGGTTGTGGGGATGTGTTGTGCGTTTTTTTCTTTTTTGAAGCGCTACAACTCTGCCTAACTCTGCGCAGACCGGCATCACCAAGATGAAGCCGGGGCTCGTGTGCACCATGCAGAAGCAGATTCAGATCCAGACGGCCTGCAAGTTGGAGGGCGAGGGCTGCGACCCCCTGCTGAACACCTGCTGCCAGGACCAGGGTCGCACGACCCCGGCCAAACCCGGGGCCCGAACGAGCCGTGGGTCGGCCCGGGGTGGTTTGCTGGGGGAAAACAAACATTTTGTCTATTCCCACTGGCGTGCGATTACGTTGCATTTGGCTCTTCCCACTCGGCGAATAAAAACCTGGGAGTCAGCGAGAGACTTTGTTCAGAGATGAAGTAGTCATGGGAATGGGAATAGTTGTTTGTAGCACGGAAAGGGTTGGTTTCCCACATCCATGGGGCGACCCTCTGGCTTAACCCAGTTTCAACCACCAACTGTTTAAACAACCTTCTTTGAGTTTCCTTTTAGAGGGGACCAGGGTTGGTTAGGCAACGTGTCTTTAAACTACAGGCAACATTTTGAAACAAAAGGAAGGTAATGTTCCGGGTTTGATTGAATAGGTGTGTGTGTGTGTGTTGTGAAAAGTCGGGGGCCCCCTTGTTGGTGGCTTGGCAAGCCCAGGTTTTTCCATTGTTTCAAGGGGTTGCATCGAGGACAACGGCGACAGGGCAGTCCGCAGCTGCCAGCTCAAGTTTTCCAAGCACCCGGGCGTTCATAGCCCCGCCTATGAGTGTGCCAAGGAGTTTCCGTGAGTGATTTGTTTGTCGGCCAGGGCAAGGCGAGATGGCCAGAGCGAGGCGCGAGCCACGATCAAACCCGGCTAAGTGATGGTTAGTAAGCAACAGTCCCGACCATCAACAGGTGCGGATATCAGCCCTTTCCCATCTTTACAATGCTTTGGGTAGGCCACCTGAATATCAGGTTTTGATTGTGACTCAAACAGGGTAGCCTGGCGCTTGGCTTTTGGCAAGCCGACGGGTGTTTTCCTTTTGCTCGTGAATTTGCGTTTAGAACCACAGGCTGCCAACAAAAGCGGACAGCACTGCTTGCGGTTGCAGTCCGAAGCTTATGGCAGGAGCTGTAAAGGGAAGCAAGAGTCTTCCACTGTCACAGATGACAGGCATTGCGCAGCTTTTGATTGAACCTGTGGCTGGAGTGCAAAAAATATCACAGTGTCCGTCCCATGTGTCAAAGCCTCCCAGTCCATTTCACAGCGCACTCTTCTGATTTTGCTGCTCTTGGTAAGCAATGTGTGGACGAACCTGCCCCAACGTCCCTACAAGGACCCGCTAAGGTCGACAACAGGGGGTCATTCCCATATCCCTGCACTTGTTTTCCTGAACGACGCGCATCCCCCCCACAGGTCTTCCAGTGAGAGTTGGCTGTCACGGTTCTCATCGGGCTGCCGTATGGCCTCTCACTCCATTCCGCACAGCCAGCTCCAGCCGACACGTTTGGGCCATTCTCAACTGCTCATGAGGCGGCACCCGCGTATCGGACAAGCCAGGGACGGGTCGAGTCCAAGTCTTGGAAGTATCGTATTTACAGGTATGAGGCGGGATATGGAGGACTTGCTGGGTTTGCCATAGGAGCTAGGGGAGCCTTAATCTGCACATGAGTGTTTTTGTTATGGGGTTTCCATGTAGGTTCGCCCAGTTTTACCTGAACCGAGGTGAACAAGGCGAGCGCCTCCGAGGAGCAATTGGCGCAGCTGCTGGCCGGGGTCGATCTGGGCGATGGTGCGGCGCCAGCGCGGGCAGTGGCAGCGAAGCGATTGGACCCAGAGGTGGTGCCGCGGAAAGGCGGGCTGACAGGCGGGGGCAACGTGTGTGCAAAGCGTTGCAAGGTCTAGCCATTTTCAAGGGTTATGTTTAGCTCAAAGGACAGAAAAATCAGAGCCCTGGAGCCATGGGAGGATGATTGCCCTTTCTGCACCTTGATGGTGCCTAATCGTCACCAATAGCCACTATTCGACCTTAGAAGAAACGTAAGGGTTGAGAAGCTGCCCAATGACAGGTTCAGTGGAGAAGGTGCGCGTTGAGGCTGGGCCATAGCTCCTACTGGCTAAACCTCCACCGAGTAGAACCAAAAGTCGATGGGACCTGAAAAATAGTTTTGCTTCGGGTGCTCCTGACTTGGTTTGGTTTCAAAGTACCAACCTCCCCCCTTTGAATTGAACAAATGCAGCCCAGCCCCCTGTTTCTTCCTCCCGCCCCCCGGCCCCGGCCACCAACGGAGGTCCAGGTGTCGGAGGGGAGGTTCCGCCTGGTGCGGCGGCTCTTCGACGCCTGCGGGCTGCCGCTGCGCGCGCTGCACCGCGAGGCCGTGGGGAGCCTCAGCTGCCGCCTGCTCGGCGCCTTCGCGCCGCGGCGGGTGGTCTCGGTGGAGCCCCCAGAGGTGCGGACAGGGCGGTTTCTGGGGAGGCGGGGCTCAAGCCCACGAGTTGTTGATACGTTTATACAAGGGCAATGGGGAGACCCATGAAAACAACGGTCGGTATTGCCATGGTGTGCCGGAGTTGTGTCATCTAAATTGGGGGCTTAAAGGGGAGAAGAGGGAAAGAGCAGATCGGGGGAGGGGAAAGGAAGGGGGAGGCTTGCGTTTGTGTTCGTTGATTGTTTTGCTTTGCCTGGGCGCAGGAGAAAGGGAAGGGAGGGGGAGCAGGGGAGTGAGCAGGGGAGTGAGGAGGCGGTGTCCTTTGTTGTTGGGGGGGGGTCTTTTGAACATAAGTTGCCAGAAAAAGGCCAGCGGAGGGAAGGGAGGGAAGACTTGGCTTCTGTTCTCACATTCTTTGGCATGGCTGTGTTGGTGTAGGGCCACTTGGTTTAGGGCCACTTTCTGTGCAGCAACACCATAGGAAGAGCCAGCCCAGCTATTCCGGCTACTCGAAGCTTCCTCAGACGCAAAAATATAGAATTTTGGCGAAGACCCCAGAGGGAATCCAATCACACCAGCAATTCGAGGAATGCCCCTGGTCGCCACCTCCAAAGAGGAAATGAACAAACCTTGAGATTAGCCCCTATTAAATGCAGGGGGCGGGGCCTGTGGGAGGTTTCTTCTTGGCAGGTCCTGGATCTGCTTGCTGCAGGGCGTGGCCCGGAAGTGGGACAAGCCGTGTACAACGCCCTGCGCTGCGGCAGTCTGCTCTGCAACCTGCGCCGAGGCCCGGAAGAAAAGACTCAAGTTTGGACAGGTCCCCTTAAACAATAGGAGGATACATCCGGACCAACCGCGGGCAAGTCTGGTTCTTAGGGGAAGTCTGTTTCAAGGAGTGGTTGGCCGGGTTCTTCGACCATATTCCCTTATCCTGCGCTCTGGGGAGGGAGCCCTTTTCTTGGAAATGGGTCACATCTTGCAACGATTGCGGAGTCCTGGTTTGGGGAACGGTTGGCGCCTACAAACCTGCTACTGTCAGAATCGGGTGTCCATGCTCATCCGAAAAAATAGAACCAAAATCAAGCACTTCGCCACTGAAAGGGGGTTCACACCTTTCAGTCGTTGCGGTTTAAAGGACAACGGGGAGGCAGTTGCCTCTATGTAAAACGAGGCAGCGTGCCGGAGCCCAACCGCGAGCGCCTGGAGCGGTGGCTAGCGGAGCACTGGACTTTGGAGGGGCCCTGCTCCCTGGCGATTAGGGACGACGCGTGTGGCTTGTTGAGGCCAAAGGGCCCTTTCAACTTTCAACCTTTGGGTGTTGTTGTTGTTTTTTTTGGGGGGTGTTTTTGTCAGAACAAAGAGAGCAAGTTGCGCTTGCGGGGGGCTTGGAGGCCAATGTGGTCGCTCTTTGTCGATGGGTTTACTATGGCTAAGCCATCTAAAAATTCAGTTCGAAACTGACGGTTGATTCCCAACATCTTGTCAGACCACTCATAATTCATGGCTAATGACAGGGCTCTTCTTGTTCCCCACTTGTAGAGTTTCGGGAACCTGCTTTGTGAGCATGTTCTAGCAAAACTTGATCAAGCAAGCTCCTTTGGGCGTCCCTTTCCTTTGGAGAGGGTGGTCGACTTGTTCAAGCCAAATTTGCCCAAACCGATGGCGCCTTCTGAGGCCTTGGCCCGTTCCGCCAGTTCACCGGCACAAGTGCACGGTGCGCCTGCGAGGATGCGGGCACCAGCTGGTGCCTGCCGCGGAAAAGGGGCTCAGCCAGGGTGCAGGGTCTGCGGTGTTTGTGTGGTTGAACCAGGCTCGATTCGGGTATCGCGTGGTTGTCCAAGGGAGAGAGCAAAAAGGAGGTGACTGTTATGTTGAAACAAGAGGCTGGCCCAACCCTGGGCGATCGTTCTGAGAATTTGAGAGATGGATCCCAAATTTGGAACGTCTTCAGGGTATCTTTCAAAGATGTGAGACTGGCAGACTTTCCAACACAAGCCTGAATTGAGGCTAAAAGAGCGTTTGGTTTTCTTTGGCCCCCTTCAAACAGTGGTCGCAGTCAGTTGTCCAATCCATCCTGGGTCATGTGGGGCTGCTTGTGTTTTGAGAGCGCTTGTTCATGGGTCACTTAAAGAAGCAGCCAACAGAACCCTCCCCTCCCCCCCCGGCACGTCCCCCCAATGTTTCTGCGCTTCTTGCACGCTTGCGCACGCTTGCGGAGGCATCCAAGTGGCCAAGGTGGACGCTTCCGGCCAGGCAGGCTTCCTTGCGTTGGGCCCATGGCTTAAGCCACCAAACTGGTGTCCCTTGGCAGGAAAAATTCTCACAGGGAGCTTTCCAGGGCTCAAGGCGGCCTAATTTGCCTTTCGGTTGCCTTCGATTCTAGCTTTGGTTACCCAAAGGTTTCCTTTGGTTGCCTTTTGGTTCAGGCTACCGTTTGGCTGGGCTGTTCAAAAGTAATCCTGAATCCTTACCCTGCCTTATGCAAGGAAACCGGTTTTTGTTCTAGGGATTATAGGAAAATGCCAACCCGACCCATTTTGAACAGCCAAGTTGGGTTTCCCCTCAGGTTTTTTTTTTCAAACCTGCTGGTTGCTTTTGAACCTAGTTTAGTCATATTTAAATGGTTTCCCCCCGCGTGGCGTTTTTTCCTTTTCACCAGCTGGGCTCCTGGTTCTGCAGGTGCTGATCTCCGAGGCCTTCGGCTGCGTGGGCTACTGCTCCTGGCAGGCCATCCATCCCAGCGACCCCTTCCCGCGGCTTGGCCGAAGGGACCTTAGCGAGGCGGAAGTGGCGCCGGTGCTTGGAACATTTTTGAAGGCTCCCCCCCCCTTCACTTACTTTGTGAGAGTTTCGGAAAAGCTGTTCGTACAACATTTCCTGACAGAAGTGTAATGTCTGCCTGGAACTTGTTGCAGCAAGTGCCTTTTTTTGCGGGCACACAAGGTTTAGCTTGAATTCTCAAGCTATTCTGATTTAGGAAAACATGGGCATGCGAGGAGGGGACGTAAGCTGGATGGCGGCCGTGTGGCCAGGTACATGTTCAGAAGTGAACTACTTTGGATGGACAAAATCCACTTTGCACGAGTTGGGAATGGATGAAGCGCCCAATTGCTCGGAAATGCCACCAATCCCACAGAATGCCATGATAAGTTTGCTAAGGGATTCTCAGGACCATCCCTTCTGGGAGAAAAAAACTATTGGACAAGCTCACGACCTTTCCCGCCAGCACGGGCCTACGAAACCTTGGGTTCTAAGGCCTTTCCTTTCCTCCGCACAGGCTTGGGGCCACGGTCTTGTCGCAGCCTTTGTTGGCTGCAGCCACTGCCCGGGCGCTGCAGAAGCGAGGCGACATGGAGTTGGGCAGCGGGAGGGGGGACAAGCACCTTGTACCCTTTTTTGGGGGAGGGTTCCCCTACTAAAAATAGACTACAGGAAAAAGGGTACCCTTATTCTAACCTCTCTACTGGAGGACCCAGAGCAAATACACACCTTCCCTTATGACGGCCGAGTGCCGCATGCACAACATTCTACAGCATGTGCCTCTGCGCGGCTGAGGGTCGGATGGACAGAAGGAGATTGTGGGAGCTTCACCAATGCCTTGTTTTCATGGAACTTGATGGGGAGGTGTAGGTGTGGGAATCTCCAAATGGGCACTGTTTCCCGTTGGCATGCCTTGATGTACCTGTGCACTTCCCTGGGGGAAGGACATGCCGAAAAAAAAAAAAAAAAAAAAAAAAAACTTGGGCTTGCTGAAAGGGGTCCCTGGAAACTGAGCCTTCATGACCCAGGTGCTCCGGGTCGCATATTGAGGCCATGATTGAAACAGCCCCTAACGAGAAAGAGCAAGCACGAGGCTTGCGAGTCTGCGAGTCGCAATCCTTCCAAGTTCCACACCTTCGGATGGAGGAACGATCAGAATGTTGAGCAACTGCCTGACCATCCGGCCATCCGGCTTGGTGCTTGGCTTGGCTGCAGCGCCCAGGCATATGTCTCTCAAATAGGGGGCCTCACAAAAGTAGCTTCCATTACGGTTCCCTTCTAAAATCAAAAAATAAGGGATGCTGCCCTTCCAAGAACAAGAAAGACCCACCCCCTTCCAAGTGGCTTGTGCGATGTCCACAGGCAACCAAACAGACTGAGACGATCAGAGCAAGAAGCAAAATACCACAGCCAGTGAGCAACTTTTTCGTTGCTGAGTCAAGACCCTCTGGACGCAACGGCAGAGAGCGAGAGAGAGCGAGGAAACCACCGCCAGAGAGGGACTAGGTCCCCGAGCAGCACCCCTTGTGAGCAACACCGAGCTGCGCAGTTCATTCAGCCGCCTGGGGCTCAGCCGAGGCATCTCGCTCAGCGCCTCTGCGGAGCGGCTGCTTTGGCCCAATGCCGGGCCTTTCACCGTGGCGGCCCGGATGTGGTCCTTGCGGTGTGCCCAAGCGTTGCTCGGGTGGGTCGGCGTCTTTATTTTTCCGATTTGTTTTTTGTTCTTCTTTTTTCGGCATGTTGAGTTCCCTGTCCATGGAGGGTTGGTGGTTTAATGTAGGGAATCCTGTTGCTTTGACGACGGGTGTTTGATTTAATTGATGGTACCGAATTCAAATTGGGCTAGACAGTGAACAAAGAGAGAGAGAGAGAGAGAGAGAGAGAGAGAGAGAGAGAGAGAGAGAGAGAGAGAGAGAGAGAGAGAGAGAGAGAGAGAGAGAGAGAGAGAGAGAGAGAGAGAGAGAGAGAGAGAGAGAGAGAGAGAGAGCGAGAGAGCGAGAGAGGGAGAGGGAGAAAGCAAAAAAGAACAAACAAAAAAAACGTCGGGATACCGTACTTACTGTTCCCAGTGGCAGTGTATCGTGATCATACATCCAATTTTCCTGGGGCAAGGTCGACTCCGGAATCGACGCGGATGAGGTTCCACCAAAAAGTGACGGATTCCTCTCCAAAATGGGTGTGAGGGTATGCCCCTCTTTGTTGCCTTTTCCTCTGCCACAAGAGTTACAGGAGGTAGCAGTCTAGGCAGCAGAAGCCCTCTTACATGTTTGGAGCACATTGGCCGCCGGCCTTGAATGGATGGATCCAGCGGGGCAGTTCCTGTTGGATGAAAATGTCGCCTCTTTCAATCCCTCTCTCTCTCTTTCCTTCTCTCTCTCTCTCTCTCTCTCTCTCTCTCTCTCTCTCTCTCTCTCTCTCTCTCTTTTATTCTGTTTGAAATGGGTTGTAAGGCCCAGCTTGCCTGCAGGCCATGTGTTTGAAGGGCCCAGCTTTTGAGGGCACAGGGACCTTATTCTCTTCATAGCTCAACTCGTTGTAAGCGTGCGCTTCCTCCTCTTCTCTGGGTCTGTCTAAGACAGAGAGCCCGTTTGTTGCGGTTTGAAGGTGGGATTGAAGGACAACCAACCACCTGGCCGTGCCTCAAATTCGCATTCGAGAAGTACAGGGGAAGTCTCAAAATGAGGCCCAAAAACTGGTTGCTCCCGTTTGTCTTTCAATCCAACCAGAGGTGGGATGCCCAAAAAGCAAGTCTTGCTTGGCTCTGATGTCGCTCAGGGCGACGTGGTCCGGGGCAAGCTGCAGAGCAAAGCGCCGCCAGCCGCCTCCAGCCGCCTGCTGGGAGACTTGAAGAAGCTCATGGAATGGCTGGAGCACCTGGGACTTTGGGCCACTCATGGCCATTCACAGCACTGACTTCGCACAGCCAATGCTTTGAAGAGTACTCGTTTTTAGATAAGGCTTACTCAGCCTCAAGACTTTTTACACGGACTTGGCTGCGCAAGCTACCTTTCGGCCCGACCACTTCGCCAGGCCGGAAGTGTTCCACTAAAACCAGCGCCTGCTCGAGCATTGAGTCTATCTCCTGCCACGGAGTTGGTCATCACATGTCTGAGCAATAGAATACACACATGCATGTACTGTATACATGCCATGAATAGAGACTCCCAATTGATTATGGTTATAGATATGGTACACCCTGCTTGCATCCAAGACATGCTAGTACACGCAATAAACACACAACCAAATGACTTTGCTTCCATGCAGCTCGGCAAATTATCAAAAATTGCATTGCTGGCATAGTGTGCTCACCAACTATAGTCAACTAAAGACACAAATGACAAATTTTAGCTGGATTGTTAATAAGTTTTGTAAATATGTTGGGGTCCACAGCATTTCGAGAAGCTCACAAGGCACAGCAATGTAAAGTCGCTTTTTCCGAGAACTCCGAATTATCCGATAAAGCACTTATACCGGCCTCACACATTTTGCTAAAGTGTTACCACAGCTTTGCAGAGAAACCCAAACCAGAGTGAGAACTATAGCAGAAGCAAGTGATTCTAGCTTTCACAACTTGTGTCTGGCAACAACATCCATAAAAGATTCCTTATTTCTGCGACTTATGAGTGTGAAGATGCATTGACTTGAAAACAAGGACCGAGGCGTCCTAGTGAAAATCCACTCACTCCAGAAAAGATAGTCTTGTAGGCGATGAAGTTGATCTCGCAACTGGAATAGTTTTGTAGACGATGCGCAAGACAGCAAAGAACTCGTGAGGATGTCGATTGGTTGGTTGTATGGTCGTGCCACTGGTGGTTGCGAATCTGGTGACTCAGCATTGCTGAGGAAGCAGATCATACCTTGTGGCTTTCAGCACCACTGCTTGCTGTAGTAGCCATTGCTGCAGCTACTACTCTCAAATGAGCACCCCTCATGCCAGCCCTTGCCATGATTTTCATCCAACATAACCGTAGGTCTTGTTGTATTATAAGCACGACTCATCCGCAAAGCAGCCAGGAAATCATTTCGACAAGTCCTCCTCACCAAACAAAGAATCAAGCTATGACGGGACCCTTCCTGGCTGCATGTTGACTTATGTCTTTGGCTGGGGCAAGACCACCGATCAGCAAGACTTCCGGATTCAAGAAGAAGAAAGCTTTGGTGAAGACCGCAAAAGGAAGTTCGAATACAACCCAAGCATCGTCATCGGCGACTATCAAGTATCGTTTGCAGAATGTTTCAGAAAATAAGAAGACCAACATCAAAGGCGCAAGGACTGGTGAACTTGGTGTCGTACTCAGGAGATGAGGCTCTTCATTGGGTCGATGGCCTGTGTAAATCGCTGGATTGCATGACAGCTTCCCATTGACCTGGTGCATCCGTTGTCAAGGATTGCATCGGTCGGGTTGCCTTGCAGGTTCCTGACCGGCGCCAGGCTGTGATGGGTTGTCGCTGGGAAGTTGTGAGCAGAGAAACTCTATCATCGTGGCTCAGCCTCTTATCGATGGCATCATTGCATTGATGTTTGAAAGTTTCGTGACTTGCATTCGTTGTGGGTGTCTTGAGTTCCCGCCACTTTCACTGCAACTCCATGATGGATCCCCATCCTGATCATACCAACCGGCATATGAAGGCTCTGAGAGGTCAGCAGCCGCCTGCTCATCGGCGCTCTGCAACAGCACCTCTTTTCCTTTTCCACCATGGTATGATGGATAGCCTGTGTTTTCATCGCAACCATTCGTTCTTGACTTGTCCTTTAGTTCCTTTCTTTCCTTTGCCTGTTCGCCCTGACTCCTGATGTTTATTGGCCAAGTGGGCCTTTCCGTCTGCATGCTGCCTTTGTGATTTTCCTTTTAATCCTTCCTGACTGCGAACCAATGTCTCCTCATCTTCGGTTCCTATTCTTCAGCAAGAATGTGGCGGTTCGCCCTGAATGATGAAGAATTGTGCAGTGAGGTTATCATTGAGTGGAATCGCAGAACGGTGTCTCTGCTGCATTCCATTGCCACATGTTCTCGACGTGTCCGGGTCGTCCGGGTTCAGGAATTGGACGGATTGTGCTCCAGCCTGAGTCGGTTGCTGAGGCTGCGCGGCTCTTCTGTTGTTACATAGTGCACTGATTGGAGATAATCTGGTGACTGCGCCGTGATGACCGGCATCAGATCGTTCCACGATGATTTCAAGTTTCGTCGCGAGATCTCGGCCCTGCAGATGAGAACCAGAAACTCTGCGTCGGGCCTCCTATGATTGAAGGAACGCTCCCTTCAGGAAGTACTTCTTTAGCGTGTTCTTGAAGTAGCTGACCCCTTCGATTGGATCTCGGAGCAAAGTGTTGTCAAGCGGTTGTGACTGAGATCCTGTCATCAATGAGGTCCTCATATCTAAAGCAGCTGACTTTTCCATAGCACGGGTTTCTTCAGTGCTGCCGACGACCTCCGTGAAGCCGTCTCCGTCTGCTGACATCTTGTCTGACTCTTGTCTTAAAAGCCTGCTCCGAGCCGCACCGGGGGCAACTAATTTCAAAGGGGAAGATTCCCAGGATCTGTTTCAAGCAAAGAACCTGATGTCAATGTTCCTTGAGCCGCAATGGTGCATGCGTGAAAAGTGGTTGCCATAAGGGCAGTCTGAAAAACGGGGGCGGGGGCCCACAAGATTTCCCAGCCCCAAAACCTGCGCAACATGTTGTGCAACATTTCTTGGCTTGCTAGATTGCATTAAGTCTATGATTTCATATCCCTTCAGCACAAGCACTACTCTACAGATTGAGAATGCAGAGGAATAGGTTGCAGAGATACAAAGATACATGAACAGAATGCAAAGACCTGCAGACTGAGCAGATGCTTGATTAGCCTTTGCTTTCTAAATTTAATAGTCTATGGAATGAAGTGGTCTGGAAGATATAGGATATCGAATGAAAAGATTGCAGAATTAGCAGATGCTTGCTCAGCCTGTGCTTCTGAATTTACCCACATTGGACAGTATAACGTGGGGGCTTGGCATATAGAAACAGATATGTGTATATACCAATCCAAACCTCATCCCAAACTCCCTATTGGGCCATGGTCAAGACCGCCCTTGGGGTTGGCCGACGCAATGAGAAATCAATAGAGGCGCGCACCTCCTCCGGACGGCGACGGCTCGCCGGGTTGGTGGCCGGCGGCGCGGCATGCCGCGGGCTGTGGGTGGCTGCTCGGGGAGGAGCTACCCAGTGGCCCAGCGGCAACCGATTCAGTTGCAAAACCGCACTTATCCAAAGCAAATCTACCGAAGGTTGGCCTTTCATTTCTGGGTCCTTCAAGGCCACTGAGAAAACCAACCTTTTTCTGACATCTGAAAGTCTTATTTAGATACCCCAAAAGGGCCAAAACCAGCCAGAGGTGAAGCGCTTGAAACCGAGGCGCGGCGATGCAGAAGCTTTTTGGCGAGGCGGGGAGGGAGGGAGGGGATCCCATGTTCTACTTCAGGTGAGTGATGTGTTTTGTTTGATCTAATTGCGGCAAGCACATGGGTTTCAACCAGAGCCGGGAGTGCAAGAACACTTTGCACCGCAAAAAGGGACAAACTACTCAAAACGAAGCTCTTCTCAAAACGATTGATTTGGCCTTCCATCTTAATGCGCCGAGTTTGCAACAAACAAGGCCCAAATACGGGTTGGGGGACGCATGGCTGTCAAACAAGCTAAGAAACAAGGAAATGTTTTTTTTGTGGATTTGAATTTGTTTCATGGCTGCCTTCTGTTCGACTTGGGGTTGCTAATAGGGCACGTTTCATCTTGGAGTCTGCCAAGGCCTTCAAGGTGTCACGTCTATGTTTTTGGACTTGCAGACTGCCAACCCCGAAGGTAGCAAGGAACAGAAATATATCCACCCTTTGGGTTCTTTACATGGCTTTGGTCAGACCCGCTTAGCACATAACAGGTGTGGATTGTGACTCACTTGGCCGTGGTTCTACCTGCAGTTCACGGGGGGCTAGAACTGCATAACCCTTTGTAAGCAACCGTGGAGCCTTAAAAGTCAAACGGCTTTCATGTGATTGTGACCCAACTGCTTGATTTCCCTCGGCCTTTCTTTTGTTCCGTCCGCCTAGCGGCACATTTGGTTCACGTTCTGGGCCCTTTTTTTTCCTCGGGCTGTCGGCAGCCTCGGGCCGATCTTCGAGGCGGGGCGCCCGGTGTACCGCGCCGCACTGAGCCCGGTGCAGATCTCCAAGCCGGTGCTCGGCGTGGAGAGCGCCGAGCTGGAAGCCTCCCAGGCGCGGAGAACGCGGGCAAGTGGGAAGCCATGTGTGTGTGTGGGTGTGGGTTGCGCGTTGTGTGTTTTGTGCCATTTTATTGGAGGGCCCTGGAATCATGTTAGACATCGATTTGGAAATACGCAATGTCCATCTGCAGATGCCCAGCTGGCCCGAAATGAGAGGACGCGACATTTGGAGAGGGAGTTTTGTCCCCACTGCAAGGGATCTTCTTTTCCCAAGACCAAAGCGGGAACGCAGCCCATTTTGGATATGGGAGCCTAATTTTGAGACCATGAGCCTTACATGTTTGCCTCCCTCGAGGGTGCCCTTTTTAGGAACCCACTTGCTTTAAGGCTCTCGAAAACAAACTTTGGCAAGGATTTGTTTGTGGACGCCTATCGTCCACGAGAATTGCATCTGCCATTTGCTGGCTCATGCCTTACATGTGTAACCTTGGTTTCTATGTGAGTTGGGCCGGGGTCCTGGCTTGTGCGACCATAGAGGGCACTCTCCTTGATTACTGAAGGCCGGGGAAAAGCCGAGCCTACGTGCAAATTTCCTGGCTGCAATGCGCTAGCAGCAAGACACCTTGTTCTGAGTCAACTTGGTTATGAGCTCTCAACCCCCAATTCCAGGAGGCGCTGGCCTTTCACTTCGCGTTTTTTAGTTCTGTCCTTTTTGTGGGCCAAGCCGGGAATTGCAGTTCTGATGGTTTCCCTTGAGGCCATGTAGAGAATCCGCTTTTAGGATGTCTCAAATGAAGCCTCGAGGATGCCTTGGTGGCCTCCCTGGGCACAGATGAGCTGCGAGCGATGCATTTGGCGGATGCAGCCCGGCAAGAGAAATCATTTATTTGTTCAAGCAAATTATAGCGACGTTGCTTTTGGGGCTGCGACGTCCCTGAAAGTGAAGGTTTCTTGCTTGGGCATCACTTATTTTCCCTTGCTGAACTATTTCAATTGCCCAGAGTTACAACCCCCACCCCCTACCTAGCACCAAGCTGTTCGGAGAGACAGGAGCAAAAATCATGGGACTCGCAGGGTTTCCCACCTTTCCTGCCTTGTGTTACCCTGCAGCATTTTGTCCTGCATCACACAACATGTTCAGTTAAATTCATGACATGTACATGACATAATGTATTTGCATTGCACAAACCATTGCATTGCATTGTGCATCGTGCATTGTGTTGCATCACATTTTGTGCAGTACATCAGTCGTGACTTCCTTGCCACAACCATTGCCATTGCAATTGCATCTCATTTTGTCATATCACTGTATGCTCATTGCAATACGTCTCATGGCGGTATTATGTCACGCAATGCAACATAATGCAACTCCACGTGCCACAATTACATCCAACATGGTTGAATGACACTGTCACGAACTGCAACGCAGCGCAATGTGATGCATGCTGCGTCGGGTCGTGTTACACGAATTAATGTAACGCAATGCTAGCATGTAATGCAATGTAGTGTCACGGAATGTCCTGACACACATCGCAAGGTAGTATCTGCATCTTGTTTGATGTTGTGTGTTACATCTCAATTATCATGTTATGTCACATCACAGAGTCTGAATGAGCATGAACACGACATGTTGGGTGCGATGTAGTGTTTGTATGTGATGTCCACTGGTTGGGCCTTTGTTGAGGCACTGCCAGGTGCACATGGTATGTTCCTGGCTCAAATCGCCGTAACTCAAGATGCCATCCTTTTCGGCCCCAACATAAGGAAATAGCACCTGAAAGGACCTTGTGGACCTTTGCAGTTCGGGGAAGTTTTTAAATCAGCAGGGAGCATTCCTCAGCCTTCTTCGAAGTGGCTCTGCTCTTGATTGTTCAGATTGTTTGAAGCATGCAGCGTGGTGTCAATGCCCTTGCAACAGATCACACCAGGAAACTCCTGCTTGTTGCTCCCAACATTGCTGTGTCACCGATACTGTTCCGCACGTTCCGCGCCTGGCCATGTCGCAAGAGTCTTGTTGAAACTCAAGACTCAAAGTGTTGAATGTTTTTTCTTTTTCGGATCTCAAAAACAAACACGCGCTTGAGTCTCCGTTTTTTTTTGGATTCGGATAATCAGAACGAGACGTCGGAGACTCCGTAGGTTTGCCTTGCCAACAACCACGCGCTGCGCCGCTCCGAGCTGCCCCACGGCCTCGCCGCGTCGGCGGCGGCCGCGGCCGCGGCCGCAGCGACGGCGTCGGGGGCGGGGCGAGGGGCGGCGGCTCATCCAACTGGTGGCTTCCTTACAGGGAATCCCCGAAACCGGTTCATTCCCAACACCTTGTCTCATTTCCTGAGCACCAGCAAGCTATACAAGATTGAAGTGCAGATGGACGAAGGTTTGTAGGTGTGTTCCCCCCAATCTTCATTTTCTGCATTTGGCTGGGGCAGGATCCAACATAACGAGTCTTGACGTTGAGGTGCACCAGGCAAGGGCACGGAAATTGAAGCGCCCTCCCTCCGACCCAAACGTTGAAATCTGATGAGTTCCCATTTTGCGTTCAGGGGCCATGGTTTGGAAGCCGCGATGCCGATGGCAGCTTTCCAAAAAAGTCCCCCTGTTGAAGGTTCCTTGGTTTCAGGGCGAACCTGCCGTGGGTTTTGAACCTTGTGCGAGCCCCTTTGGCAAGACGCCTGCCGGAGGCTTGTCAACTGGTTGATTGAAGGGGGGACATTTGTTTTGAAATCCTTCGGGTTTTCAGGCTTCAGATCGAGGGGTGAGCAACCAGCAACCCATGCAAGCCTCTTTTGTTCTGCATGCATTTTAGAAGGGAGGCTATTTTTTAAGCCCATCCCGCAGAAACTCACCAAATTCTACATAACTACGTGCTCAACCATGGCGATTTGGCGTTTGGGGGCCAAGTTGCTTTTAAGACTTGAAATGTTGTGTTGGTTTAGCCGGATTGTCGGGATGGGCAAATGAGCCGGGGATGGCAATTTTAGCCAAGAATCAAGCCATGTAGGTCATCGTAAATGATAAACTAATTGCCTTTGCCAAACCTCTCGGGTGTTGATGGATCATGTTTGGGGTTGCCCTCAAATGAAAAGAAAAAGCAGCCACACACTTCACGCTTCCCCCATTTAACCAGATTCTCCATATGGCTATGGTTCAAAACCAATGGTAACCATTTTGGGATAGGTGCACCACCCATTTGTGTCTATTTTAGTGGGGGTTGGGATGCTCAGTGGGGGTACGGGGTTTTGACCTATGGCCATATGTTCCCTTGTGGTGGTTTTACATCTCTCTCTATTTTGGTGAGTTTCCTTTTGGGGCGAGGCAGACTTCTGGGCCACGGAGCTGCGTAACGACATCAGCTGCGCCTTGCGGCGGAACGGCGAGGCGGGCATTTGGCTCGGCCCTTTTTGTGCAAAGGGTGAGTTTCATGCGTCTCTTGGGGACATACCCATGTTTGTTTGGAATAAAGGCCTGCACTGCTCCATGATGATGAACTTGGAAGCCAACTTGGCTGAACCATGGTTGCTGAAGACAGTTCTTCCTACTTCCATGATTGCCTGCTGGAGTGTAACCCCCTATAATGCAAACAGATGAGTTCAGCTTGTCCGGCGCAAGCACGTAGGTGGCGGTTGTTTTCCTGACCTGCGCCGATGCGGACCTGGCATTTGAGCTTGCTCGGCTGCTCTTGGATGACTAGGCTCCATGCAGTCGCTTTTTGGGCGGACGCTGGGCAGCCAAACTTTGTGGCTGGAGGTGCCAATCTTCAATTGTGTTCTAAATGTCCATGAAAGAGGCCAAGAGCTTGTTGCTGTGTTTCGTGCGCCCAACGCTTCACCGCTTTCCTGCTCCCCCCAGGAATCTGGGAGGGGGGGCCTTCTATCTTCCATGACATGGGCTCTTGCAGACCGAGTCGGGGGCATTCAATGCAGCTCGTTGCGGGTTTCAGGTAGACGCAAGCAAGCACCTTTGCTTAAACTGGCTTCCCCTTAATCCCGACCAAAATTGATCAGTTCAGAAATTTAAACTGGAGTGTGTTGGTCCGACTCGGAGCCACGAGGTTTTTCGAGCCCTCCTTTTCAGCTCCTGTGGGGCCAAGCTCTGCAAAGCCAATCCTAGCCCCTGAGAATCCGGAACACAAGGACTTCTTTCCGGCGGATTCCCTGCTTCAGGTTGAGCAACGCCGACTCGTTTGTTCAAGCTCCGTTGAGCGAGCGCCGGTGCTCGACATTTTCGCGCGCAGAAAATGCAAAGGCCCTCATGAGACACTGAAAGGTGGGAAATGTGAGTTGGTGACCTAGCATGACCACAAAGTAAGGCCTCGAGTGGAGGTTTTGCAGCAGTGAGCAACTTCAAATTGAACCCTCCGTCGTTTCGGTGGAAGGCAAAGTCAAGGCCGCCAGTCGGAACAAGACATGCTTCCGGCTTGCTTGTGTGGCAATTCGTCTTGCCAATGGCCAGCTGGGCGGACATTTTCATGGCACGACCTTGGGAGATTGGCCACTCAGAGGGAATGTTTCGTGGCAAGAACGGCGTTTCCAGACTTCCAGGTCTCGTGTTCTGGTTCTTAGGCTCAAAAGTGTCTCAAGATGAAAGCATTGAAACCCTCACCGAAGTCCGTCGTATTCGCATTTCAGGTCTACGTTGTTTTGTTCACTTGTTGGTTGCAAAGTCGGATTTTGTGCCATATTGCAGAAGTTGGGAAAGTTGTTTCCCAACTGTGGTTTTTTGTGATGATGTTTTGTGAATGACCTATGGGAACCAGAAGCAATCCCGAATGCATGAGTGTCTCCGTAATATAGTGCGTGTATATGGCTCAAGTGTATATGGCTCAAGAAAATTATAGTGCGTTGCTTTTGTTGGTCGTCTATTTATGGATTTTTGCTAAATCAAAAGGTTGTTAGCTGCAAGCGACACAATGTATAGGATCGCGGGCCCCGAGTGTTAATCCTGGATGCTTTCCTACGGAGGCATTAGCTGGCGCATGGCAAAGTTTTGCTATATGAACCAGTTAATGGAGCAAACTCGGAAGTGGTTAGAAAAACTAAGTCATCAGGAAGGCATAAGCTTTAGACAGCGAGTCGCTGCGATCACGAAGCAATCGAGAACAGCCCGGGCATAATAGTGCTCGATCGATATCTCCGCCGGATTTTTGAATAACATTAACATGGGGGCAGGTCGTACCAGCACCCCTCCGACTTTTATTCAATAATAGTACCATCGTTATTTATATCTACCCTCGTGCTATATCGAAAAGATAAATCGAACCGAAATATAAAAATCAAATCTTTACTAAAACTAGACCACGGTTGGCCCGAAAGCAGAACATCGCAAGCGAGGTCGGCCCAACGCTGCAGGATGCGTTCTTTTTCCCTACACGAAGCATTCGTGAAGCAAGCGCGAGACAGCACCAGGCAAGGTGCTCTGTGCAAGTTGCTCTGTGCAAGTTGCTCTGCGTAAGTTGCTCTGCGCAAGTTGCTCTGCGCAAGTTGCTCTAGGCAAGGCGCTCTGCGCAAACTGGTCGGTGCAAGTTGGTCTGCGCAAGTTGCTCTGTGCAACTTGCTCTGCGCAAGTTGCTCTGCGCAAGTTGCTTTAAAATGCAAGTTGCATCTTGCGACGCCCGCCCGCGGACCAGGGAGGAATCGAACCCGCGACCCGCCGGTTCCGGGAGCAGGCGCGCGAACCACGAGACAACTCCCGAGGACCAGTTCGAACAACAAAAGTCGCAAAAAACCTCGAGTTTTTGCACCTCGACCACGCCGATCCCCGCAGAGGGTTGCGCGGGCACCGCAGAAATCGCAAAAAACCATGGGTTTTTGCACCTCGACCACGCCGATCCCCGCAGAGGGTTGCGCGAGCACCGCAGAAATCGCAAAAACCTGAGTTTTTGCACCTCGACCACGCCGATCCCCGCAGAGGGTCGCGCGAGCATGTTAAAATCGCAAAAAACCATGGGTTTTTGCACCTCGACCACGCCGATCCCCGCAGAGGGTCGCGCGGAAACTTTAGAAATCGCAAAAAAACATGGGTTTTTGCACCTCGACCACGCCGATCCCCGCAGAGGGTCGCGCGGGAACTTTAGAAATCGCAAAAAACCATGGGTTTTTGCACCTCGACCACGCCGATCCCCGCAGAGGGTCGATTTTCGTGTAGTGTCGTCGGCACTACCCCGCCGCCCTAAGAAGAGATTTTAACTCCTCGCAAGTCAATTGCACTTGACTCCTTGACTTGCACTTGACTCCTTGCTTGTTTCAAGGCGTCATTGCAAGGAGTCATTGCAAGGAGTCATTGCAAGGAGTCATTGCAAGGAGTCATGGCAAGGAGTCATTGCAAGGAGTCATTGCAAGGAGTCATTGCAAGGAGTCATGAGAGCCATTGCAAGTTGCAAGGAGCCAAGTGCATGGAGTCAAGTGCAAGTCGCAAGTGCACGGAGTTAAGTGCAAGTTGCAAGTGCAAGGAGCCAAGTGCAAGGAGCCAAGTGCATGGAGTCAAGTGCAAGTTGCAAGTGCATGGAGTCAAGTGCAAGTTGCAAGTGCATGGAGTCAAGTGCAAGTTGCAATTGCAAGGAGTGACAATCCTTGCAATGACTCCTTGCAATGACTCCTTGCAATGACTCCTTGCAATGACTCCTTGCAATGACTCCTTGCAATGACTCCTTGCAATGACTCCTTGCAATGACTCCTTGCAATGACTCCTTGCAATGACTCCTTGCAATGACTCCTTGCAATGACTCCTTGCAATGACTCCTTGCAATGACTCCAATGACTCCTTGCCATGACTCCTTGCAATGACTCCTTGCAATGACTCCTTGCAATGACTCCTTGCAATGACTCCTTGCAATGACTTTCATGATGATGATTCCTTGCAATGACTCCTTGCAATGACTTTCATGATGCTGATTCCTTGCAATGACATCTTGTAATGACTCTCATGAGAACAACTCAAGTGAACCCAGCGGAAGAACCCTTCGCCATGCTTTCGGGAAAAAATCCGATAAAGAACGAGTAAAAAAGGAATAACAAGTTCATTATATTTATAATTCTATATAAGGAATTACTTGGAAATTCACAATCTCATAATGATATATATATATATAAAACCTAATCAAACTAATAGAGATTTCAAATTAGCGGAAAAACGCATCCATGGGTTCCTATCCCCGGGATACTAAGAATCTCCGGGTCACAAGCTAAAATCCCAAAGGCAGATTCTGAGGATCACCCGATTCTTTTTCCCTTCTTTAAATCCGTCGAATCTTTATGGGAATATTGATTTATAAATAGGTAATATACTGGCCTGCATTTAAGAAGCTTACAGTCTTACAAGCATGTTTTTTGATTAAAAAGTCTGCAAATGTTCGTGTGAAGTCAAGGTAACAATGATGAATAAGTCGTAATGAGCAGGCGTTGATGTTTGTGTACAACTGGTGAAAATGATGAATATGCGCTGATGTTCATGTAAATTTGCAGAAACAAAACATCAGCAATATGTGACAGTGTTTGTGAAATCATGGGGAAACAGCGGGTTCATGCTCATTTTAAACCAATGTACCTTGCTTCGTAGGATGCCAAACAAACATGGTGATGTGAGTTTTTTGGTGGTTCTGTGGTGGACAGGGGGCAGCACGTTGGCAGCGCCTGTCTTGTCGTCCAAGCCAGTTCTTCCTCCCCAGGCAGACAGGCGCCAGCGATCTCATGGCAGTTTTGCAGCGCCTGTCTCCACTACCAGGGCGAGCACGGTCCTCCTCCCCCCAAACAGACATGCGCCAGCGATCTCAACGCAACAAGGCTGGCCAAGCTTTGCTTAGTTAAAACTTCGACAGTTTCATCAGTTCGTTTGTCATGACTTGTTCAGCATGGCTGCCCCGTAGCTGAAAAACATATCCTGCGCATCACAGTTTTTTGCGCTACAAGAAGCACCCCCGTTCCCCCTTTGACACCACAGTTTCCCCACTTGCGCCACAAGAGTTCCGCCTGTGTACAGCAGTTTTCCCCCTTCGCACCACAAGAATTTCCAACGCATAACGCAGTTTCCCCGTTTGCACCACAAGAATAGCCCTTGTATACTGCAGATTCCCATTTGCGCCACAAGAATTCTCCGTGTTTGCCGCAGTTTTCCCCTTTTATTTTGCACCGCAATAATTTCCGACGCATACCGCAGTTTGCACCACGCGAAGTCCAGCTGTATTCCGTGGATTCCCTCCTTTGCACCACCCAAAAATCGTCTAGTTTCCCGCATTTGCGCCACAAGAATTCTCGCTGTGTACAGCAGTCAGCAGTTTTCCCCCTTTGCACCACAAGAAGTTCCCACATATACCGAGTATAGCGCAATTTTCCCCCTTTGCACCACGAGAATTGCCTTCCTTTGCACCACGAGAATTTCCCGTGCTTTCGCCTTGTGTGGCACAAGAATTCCGCTTGTATACAGCAGTTTTCCCCCAAATTTGCATCACAAGTTCCACGCATACCGCAGTTTCCCCTCCCCCTTTGCACCACAAGAATTCCACCTGTCTACTGCAGTTTTCCAATTCCGCAGGTTTCTTTGCAAGACAATAACTGCCCCTATACTGCAGCTTTCTCTCTTCGCACCATGAGAAGTCCCCCTGTTTACCCACAGATTCCCTCTGTGCACCACAATAATCCTGCGCGGTCACTGCAGCGCCCTTGTTGCACCACAATAATAGCCTCTTTGCGTCGCAGT